TACTTGATATATCCAAAGCTGTTGACTCCGTTTCACACGAGTCTTTATTCCGAGCCGTCCCATCGTATCTATCGTATCGAATTTATTGTCTCCGTCGTTTCCATTTCCAACGGGATCAGCATTCATCCACGGAGGAGTGTGCGGCAAAGGGATTCGCTTTCCCCATTGATCTTCATAATGACTTCGGGTGAGGCTCTTCATAAGCCTGTGTCATACCAGCGGTCATAGCTGGCTGGCCTTATAGAATCCGTAGCTTATGCCACCCGTGACTGGATGGCTTTAGTGGATAGACTCTGAACGCTTCATGCGGACTTTCTTTTTGTTCGGCTATCAGTTAGTCAATTGAAGTCGATTACTCTCAATAGTGTCATGAATGGTGCAAGAAAAATTACTGCTTAGGACACGTCTCCACTCTCGTGTTCCTCGATCACCACGTCATAACTTCAAACAGACGAATCTTTCAGTTATCGCGGCCTTCCGTTCAACTGGAAATACAAATTATCGCCTGCATCCTTAAAACAAATACGTTCCCGGCTTCAAAAGCTCACTTGTGCTTCTCTGAAACCGTAGCAGTGATTAGAAATACTTCACAACTTCTTACCGCCCCGTCAGATTTACAGCCCCACTCTGGCTGTTGCACATCGCCATACCTTAAGCATAATGGATAAATTATTTCGCTCCACTATTTGAAAATGACTGTGCCTGCTCAAGGATACGGCGGTTGCTAACATTTACTCTGTTATCGAAGATTTGGTCTTCATGATACCATCTCTGTCCACTATGATTCTACTTCTGCCTACATCTCTCGAACTACCATCATATAACCAATTAGACGATAGGGATTCCTCCGCTACATTTCTCCATCGCATTGCTACAGCGCCCATCACTCTACGTAGACAACTCGTTCTCGACAAGCCTTATGCAGAGGAGGCTTGAAGAACGGCGTTTTCATCTTCTGTCAATGGTTCCCCGCTCCGGGACTTGGCGACTGCACCTTCAGCTCCCCATTGGTTAGACAACCAACCAAGATCTTCCCTCCGTTATTCATACGTAAGATACAGCTACAGGCGGAGGTCCTCTCAACGAAGACATTCCGCGCCAGAAGCAGACCAGTTCTTCCAACATCTCTCCTTCACTTCAGTTTACTTAGTGGCCAGAAGGAAACGCTGTCACACGTCCTACAGTTACGTACAGTCTCGCACGATGCTCGCTGTAAAAGATATAATTACATCACAAAACAACTTGAAACTGCAATCCGCTGTCGGAATATTACACTAGAACCCAGAATACACACTTTGAGCTCCTTTATCAAACCCGATCTGTTTGCTGTCAAGGAGTCTACTGCATACGTTATGGGTGTTGTTTTTGTGACGCAGACCGCATTGGACGAGCATACAAACAGAAACTAGACAGACATGGTGTGGGTCCGCATGCACAGGCTATCTCCAGACATGTACAATCGTATTTTCCATAAGATTCGTATATTATCCATAATTGATTTTGAACAATCGCAGACGCATTTGTTTTGCTGCAGCGAGACATTTCAAGTCTCTGGGTCTTTCATGGTTCGACAATTCGGATCTGTGTGTCGCTATTAGTCGCGGGACACAGCATGTATGACAAGTATATGAGCTGAGCATACTCCCTACAGCTTCTACACAACACCAAAACACATTGACCAATTTAACATGCGACTTCACCAGATTTCTAGAATTCTTTATTCCGTATTTTGTAGGGAAATTGTCCTGACTTGGTCATTTACTGCAAACCCTGACCTCGGATTACGCATACAATTTATCAAAAATAAATATAACTAGTTCACATATTGCAAAATTTACAACTGACTTCTCGAATCTGCGACATTTATGGCGTCAGTAAAGTGTTTCCCATTGTCTGAAAGGCCACATATCCACGGCCACCTTAAAGAACTTTATTCTCTATGAAACTGAGATTTGGTCCATTCGGTCTGAGGAGCTGAGGCAATTTCAAGTGTTAAATCATCAGTGCTCGCGGAGCACTGTTGTCGAATGGCAGCAGCGCATCCGCTTAGGCGAGTACTAGGCGGGGATAATCGGTCTACTTCCTTAGAACAACAAATAGCATTAACTAAGTTGCGTTGGCGTGTGCACGTACTGCGTACATGCCCGGGCAGTGTTTACCTAGGGGGTCCTTTTTTTGTCGGAATTTCAGTGGTTCAAGGTTCAAGGTGAGCAAATGTTGGCTTGCTAGGAGGAAATGAAGTCGCTGATGACTAAACAGGCTGCTGTTGGTCCGCTGTGCCTTCTGTGCTGGAGTCTACGTACTCTGCCTTGTGCTTTGCCCGAGACGTTACAGGAAGTGTCTTCAAGTCGGCACCCGTGGCGCGTCTGCTGTCGTCTCGTAGTCGGACTGCCTGTTTAAAGTCTGTTTGGCGCAGAGTTATCCGCTGGGCCATGGCTGATTTTGTTGATGGCAGTGAAGACCGCACGAAAGCTGTCTCGCAGACGACATTTTATCTTTGTACACTATCTGGCTGTTTGTGACAATGATCAGGCACTTATGTGCTGAAGATTCGCTAAGGGTATTTAGATTTTATCCTAGGTCTCTATGCTCCTACTCTTATTCTTCTTCATTCCTTAGGCTATTACGGTTTACGGCGGTAAAGTATATACTCAAATGACTGACGTGCAGCTGTTGGTGAGGATGATGTTGTTAATGATGAACAATGTGACACAGTGGCAAACAAGTACAATATGTAAGGGAATATGGGTTAAATGCTATTGCTGTTGATGCCTATATGCAATTATTTTATATGGTACGAAAACCCAGATAAATCTATTTTCCATGATTTCATACTACATCTTGACCAGAACGCTTACTCATTCCTCGAACCGCCACTTTTCCACTACTGTTTTAACGCCTGTTCTCACTGGATGTGTACTATTCTAAGTCAGCCTATGTACTAATATACGGATTGCCGCGTAAAGTGAGACAATGTTTTACGACGGGTCAAAAGACCATTACGTCTAAGGTCCCTTTAGGTTGGTCAGGCGAAGAAGTGCAGAAACAGAGATAATTGCGTAGGAAAAAGCAAAACATCAAGAATGTGGAATACTAGAAACCTCGAAAAACGATACTTGGATTATGTTGCAGTTTGTGTGCATAGATGAAATTTGAAAACTGGAGAAAAATTCACTGATTCCTTGATAGATATCGTTCCATTGGAACACCACTTTTCATGTTCATTGAAATTTTTTTTAATTCACTGCTTCAGCACGTGCAACTTTGAGTCAGCATGTTATCGGTTCGAATCTGTCGGTTTGTCTTTACTCGGAAAGTCAACCAAGGCCATAGCTGAGCAGCAAATTCTTGAGTACCTAATTTTCCTATTGAACCTTCATATCAATCCTCTTATTCTGTGAAACTAAGCACTGATCAATGGAGATTAATTTTTGGATGAATACTCGGAATTTCAATCCAAAAATACGCGATACACAGATTTGGTAGCTTTCATCATGATAGCATACGCATTCAACCTACAGTATCTTGCAGCCAGTCTGCCAGAACTGTAACATGTCACTGGGAATGAGGTATAACTTTCGTTATTGGATCTTGGAGTCCCCGTCCTGTATCTGCATTGCTACAAAGCAATCTCGATTGAAGCCACGTTTTGTTTTGAAGTAAAATTGCTTCATCTCGATCACTTGGATCGCATTCGAAGGGAGGCGTTTCGGAGCTACTTTCTCCCAACATTACACTCCACGAGCGACCAGTCTCGTCCTGCTTTGAACTCGTCAGTTGGAAAGTAGCCAGGGCTGTGAGTGGAACCTGACATCCAGTGACTGATGGTTTATGCTTTGGTCACCAAGACGGAATTTAATCGAGATTGCCTTTTGCAATCTAAACACACGGTGGGGGTTCCAAGACCCAACGATGACCCTCTAACCGATGTAACATGTGCTACTAGCTAAACTGGTTTAATAACCAAGGCGTAAGTCAGTAACCACAATGTGTCGGGTTCCACTCTCATCTTACTAGTAACTTACTGTTCACGCAACCACTTTGTCATTCTCTAATCTCCACGCGACAGCCATCTTGACTAAACCCCACAGCGTGCTAACAGTTGTTTAATTGTGGCAGCCAACGTTTCACGAAGGTATTAAATTATAGGTGCTTAATAACGGAAGTAAATGCTCTCTGTCTACCCAGAGCAATTGGTCAAAATGTGTCTTAACTCTTCACTGTTGGTTCCTTACATCGAGCCATGAATCGTCCTATCTGAAAGTCACTAGTCCGCGCCGATTAGCCCAAACTACCAAAGGACGGTTGGCGACTCAAGGCAATGCTGTGAATGCCATGTCTTTTCGTTGCCGTGACGCGACTTGCGTGACGGCAGCATGTGAACAGCCTACAGTCATTCTGGTAACCAGTGCAGCCGCTGAAATTCTCGATGTAGGAGCCTAGTCTGTTTGACCACTTTGCGTTAAAGATCCGCCTCAGCTGGATTCCGTAGGTGTTGTTGCTGGCGCTTCCTTTTTGACGATTAGGTATTTTGTTAATATGGTTTGCCAAACATCACTGTGGAAGCTTGCGGTGGCTAAGAGAGCTACAACGAGGAGAACTTAGACGGTGCTTCTTGCAAGTAAATGCAGACAAATATTGAAAGCTTGCTGCCAATGATGGTAGAGCAGGACTTTCCAACCTCTTTCGAAACCGTTATCTGTTACCAGAGGTGAATTGGTCGGCCTTACGTCTTTACGGTGGTTAAGATATAGAGGCGTTGGCTGGCTCCGGCACATACCGACAAGTAAAACATGGCCATGGACGAACATTTTTCACTTTCTACTACGTGTTCAAACCGACCTCCGGCCATCCATTTTGATCTAACGGCAGCTCAATTGTCACTGTACAATCGGAAGTGCAATATTCACTTCGGCGTACGCGTTAAACATGCACTTGCTTTGCATCAGGTGAACGAAATCAGCCTGCCTGATTTGTGTATCCATTTCCCCATTACACAGATTATGTATCACATCTGCCCAGTGCCCACAAGCCAGAGGTTCTGGGTTTGCACCCGAATGCAGCGATGGGCTACTCCGTGAGATTCGCCCGCAGCATGTGGACAAACTTGCTGACGTTGCACTCTGAGACAGAGGTGGTTGGTGGCATACCCACTGCGCAGCGCCTTAGTCAAGTGGCATCCACTGCTCTGTCTTCGCAAGAACTTGGTGAACGACGTGCTTCAAACATTGGAATCGGTACTCCACGCCTGAGTGCTCGTTCGATTGCAGATCTTGTGGATCCGGAACTCCTTGGGGCAAACAGCCAGGATGCAGGCATTTCCTCGAGCGATCCTGACGACGACGCAGATAACGGTGGAGTTGCTGGCGCTGGCGCTGGCGAAGGAGAAGAGGAAGCAGAGTTGACTAATTTCCAGGACCAAGGGGCATCTGAACCAGGTGTCTTGAGTGCCGTTGCGAGTCAACGAAGGAATACTTCATTTTCTTTCTCGACCAAGTCACGTTCTTCCGTGACCACTTTCAGCGAGCGATCGGCTGGAGGTGGAGGCCAGTCTGCTTGGGCGACGTCTTCTGCACCGACTACTTCACGTGAACTCACTATTGAAAGGCTTGCTGACAGTCTCTTGGCGCGACTCCCCCAGTTGTTTGACGTTGAGAGCCTGCGAAAGAAGCATATGGGCACCGAGATTTCTCCCACTATTATAGTGTTAATGCAAGAACTAGACAGGTCGGTCACGCTGTTGCTCATGTTGCCTTATTTCGAGTTACCGGCCACTTCGGTGTTAGTCACATGGCCGGATGCATTTTTCTATTTCTTTTTAGGTTTAACCTCATTCTTTCAAAGATTTTCACTTCTCTGAGAGATTTGAAGAAGGCATTGGCCGGAAAAATCGGTATGTCTGAAGAACTGGACGATATCACACGCTGTCTGGCCAATGGCTTGCTACCAGCATGCTGGCGTCGTTTGGTTCCACAAACAGAGAAGTCATTGCCAGACTGGATCCAGCACTTACTACGACGTGCTGATCAGTACAAAAGATGGGTAAGCACCGTGCTAATTGATTCAACCCGATTGACAAATATATTATTAAGCATGTAGCTCAATCTTAGCTTCGTCTAACCCCGAAAAGCATTGTAGCTAGCCCGAGGTAAGTATAACCATACCCTTATTGACTCAGAAAATTTTTCTATTACCTATGTGTCAATGAGCAACTGTTATTGCCTCACTCCGTTTCCCTCCTGTTGTGGACCAGTGCTACGCTGCAATCGCACGTCCCATAAAACTTGAATCTAAACTCTGTTTATGTACGTGTTTATCATCTATCCGGTTCCACTCTTCGAGAATTTTGGTGGTCCTACCATTCCACGTGCGTTACCAACTAGATCCTCACCTTCAATTACGAATACATGACAGATAAGCTTGGACAGTGCGACGTACTTAGTGTTCGACCTCGACCTAGGCTACTTTTACTGAACCAGCTGTTCTGTACGAATACTGCTACCTTAGAATGATACATCTAACACTCAATGCACAGTGCAACAACCAGGTACACTAATTTATTCGGTAGGAAGATAGTTATCCGATATGAACATCACTTTGCCTCTCAGCTTGATGCGTTGCGAACATGTGAAACGGCATACGTTTCGTCTTGGTAGTGCTAAGTTGCTAGTGTATTTTTGTTTGCAAAGCAGAATTTGACTTATACCAAGATTCGTCAGCGAACAGCCTCTTTGTTGATGGTGTGTTGCAGTCTTCGTATTCCAGCTGTGATCCGATGGTCGACATAAGGAAAACCGGTTGGCCACACTTGCATGTAGGCTAAAATACTACCATTGTGCTGTAGGTTCTTAGAGTAGACTTGAAATAACAATAACGCTAGTGGGCACAAGGTGAACAACGTTTCAACCATTTCTGGTAGGTTGCAAGTAAACGTGTTAACTGGAGCTGGCTTGCTAGTCTCAGACATACTGCATGACGGCGAGCCAAAAATTCATCCTGATGTACAGAATATGTTTGGAAGATCTGCCTAATCATTGTATTCGAGCTTGTTGCGTGGGATCGCTTTCGCGCTAAATGGCTACTTCAATATTATAGGCCTTGATTACTAAAGGGAAACATCAATGTAGCAGTATTAGCTTGCACTTCCGTCGACCAAAGTATACTGGATAAACGACCGATCGACTGTCGCTAAGCACCAGAGAGCTTCACCCAATTTGGCTCTATGGTTGTGCGAGGAAGCCTGTGATGAGTTAATTGTTATCGGCCTCTGGCGGAGAGGATTACACGCTTGTCTTCTAAGCTGGTGGTCACCGGCTCAAATCCGCGTTGGTACGGACGACATCGCGATATACGCAGTCCACACACTACTGTTGGTGGGCGTGTTGCAGAGGAGCTTCGGTACGGTGTGGGGGGGTACTGCCAATGCCTTTTCTTTCTATTGCCTTTTCTGTATCACCAAAGAAACTTGCAGCGTACCCTTGGATCCAGCTGTCGTGTATCCGGACACTGCATACCAGTGGTCAGATGCCTTTCGTTCTTGACATCAGAGGCGATCACTAACCAAGTCAACAACTCAGACCTGCGTACATATAAGAAATTTGCTTAGGCCGTCTGTCTGTCTTGGCCACGGGCCATCGCGACTAGCGATGGAGCTAGCGCTACTTCCTCCCTACTTCACCTTGACGAGATCCATCACAGTCTTGTCGGATAGACATTTCGATCCAGTGACTCACTGCGTTTAATTCGCATGTGGATGTCCTGGTCACAGTTTGAAATGATATGATGGTAAATCACTGCGAACAAACTTGTCCTTTAGCGCTTGTCTTTACTGTCAATACAACCAGAAGTGAACAAAAGTTCCCGCGCTAACATACGTTTGTGAAAACACAGTGCTGTGCGAGCTTCAGCACGGCACTCATGCTTATCACTTTCCGCTAGTGTGTTTCACTCGGTAGACTCTGTTACCGCGTCTATGAATACATGAGTGGCTTTCCGTACGTGTCCTTAGCAGTCATTTGGACTGGGATGCATGTGTAACTTGCGCAGTTGGAACTTAAGCAAATTCCAATCCGCGTAGGGGTGGGCGTCCTGGCGCTAAACTCAGCCCATGCGTGACTGGTGGTGGTCGCCCGGCAGCGAAGTGCCGTTAGGGCGTACAGCTGACCTAAGCAAAAACTGGATCACTGCTTTAGTGTCGGAAGACAACAGATTAAACCCTGTCCTTCTAATCTGCAAGCTCATCTCGGTGCGTCTACAATCGGCAGTAATTTAATTGCTATGTTTTACGTAGTACCGATTTGTACCAGATAAGCTTTCTACCACCCGGTGACGAATGTAGCCCCATATGTCGATGCAATGTGACCAATCTGAAAGCAATGAAAGGTCGTCCTTATCCCCGAGAACATATTTAAAACAAGTTCATTGTAATCTTTTAAATAAGGGGGCCACTGTTACTGAGCTCTCCACCGACTGCTGTCTCAGGCGTTCCGATGCGACATCCACCTGTTGTTATGTGATTTTGTTACATGTCGACTAAACTGGTAGTACAACATTGGGAGAGTCCTTTCAATAATCCTGCGTAATTGATCGGCCTATTTTTCATTTGTTCAAGAGGAAAAGGTTGTCAAGTTAAGCAGCGTTTGGCGTGATTTCGAACGTGAACCAGAGCCTTATCAGCGACCTATGGTCCGAGATATTCCAGTTGTGTCAACTAAGGCTAAAAATAAATGATGGTTTATCTATAAACTGATCACATTAGCAAAAGATAAGATCTAGGTTTTCACACATTAATCCATTTTGCAAAACCTAACCATTAAATCAGACCGAAGCAAGGACCTACGAGCTAACGGTCATTGACCAGTCGGTTTCCCTTTTTAACGGTGGCACTCGGATGGATACACACGCCTACCACTTTCTCTGCGTTACCTGTCTTCTAGCGTTGTTTCCTATACCGTCCTACAATCCTGATCATGGAGAACCTGGCACCGCCAATCAGTTTAAAAGACTGTGATTCTTTGAATAACGTTGAACCAAAGGAAGCACAATTACTCTGCGAATATCACGATGTACAACTTAAACTTACACAGTTGCCTACAAGGTTCTGGTTAACTATCTTCATGTGTACGCGTTTTGCCGCCTGCACGTTTTCACCCTTGTTCCACTTTGCAGATGGGCACGGGGAAGAGTGAACCGGCGATGATGTGGCTCAGTGGCTTACATCTGCCGCAGTCCTACCTAACGGCGTTGGTGCAGAAAGCATGTCGCAAGCACAACTGGGCCCTGGACAAGTGCGCTCTGCAAACGTTTGTGACCGACATTGTGCCCGAAGAGTTTCACACTGTTCTCATGGCTCCTGAACTGGGATGTTATGTGTGTGGCCTTTACTTGGAGGGTTCCGCATGGAGCGTGCAGGTATATGTTAAATATCGCCACTTTACTAGACCTTTTCGATGGCCAACGTTGCTTTTGTTAATGCATGGCACGGTTCACCGCTGTTCTGTCGATAAAAGTCTGACGCATGTAGCAACACAATGTACACTTTTATCGGTGTGATCCCATCTTTTGGTCATCTTGCTACTTCATACTGAAGGGACGCCGATAATCCCCTAGAAGGAACCGAGCTTTCCGGCTGGTGACCGAAAGGACAAGGTGTCAACCCGGATGTCCCCGCTTCAAGCTTGCGTAACAGACCGGGCAACCTTTTCATTATCCATAACCCGCACGCGATTTGTAGTGGTTGCGTGACAGCGAGGAATCAGCACGGAGTACTGCTGGTGCCTTTGTCTTGCCTGGATGGTTACCGGCCCATTCCGATTGTATGTGAGCACATCAAGACACGCAAAGATATCAGGGCCGGCCAGTGGCCGTAAAGACCATTGGCTTGCCTTGTATTCCTAAGGTCGCCGGTTCAAACCTGTTCAGGGTACCGGGCGGCCCTCGCGGTATCCCTAGCCTATATGCAATTGGTGGTGGTAGTGAAGCGTCCGTAGGGCTTACCAGCGCAGTGCTGATGTCTATTTTTCTCTTTTTAATCTTATGCATGTCATTGTGAGGACCTCAATTATTTCACTTTTGAGTCGCGTGACTTGCACGTTCAGCCGTTTGCCCGGCCGCAAGCTTCCCTGCATTGTTCTCCTTGCCAGTTTGATTCCAATTCTTTTTAGAGGTGCCTCGTGTTTTTGGTTAAAATTGTTCCCGTTCGCTAAGTAATGTGTAGATGGGTAAGAGCTTCAGTTGCGCCCTCTTTGTTTTTGTCATTTATGTCTGTATCTCACATCACCTCAAGAAACACAATGGCGACAGGCGGTCTGCTGCCATCACGGCACTTAAGTTGTGCTATCATTATCTCATGCCCTAATTCACACTGTCCAAAGAACGAGCTTTGCAAATGTAAGGCGGATGGGTCGGGCTATATGCCAGTTAGACTTTAATCCATGACAGTCGGCTATCGTCCCCAATGGCTTAGTGGCATAAGTTGCTGGCGAGTGGTGCAAGCCACGAGCGATCTCGATTTGGGGCTTTCAAATGAACCGAGGGAAAGCACACTTCTTACGAGCCCCATTGGGGCGAAAAGTTTGTCTGGTGCTTTTCCGGGTTGGTACTTGATCTTTCTGACTTGTACTATAATTGTGATGAACGTAAACTGATTTTTCTCTTTGCTGTCAAATCAAGGGTACATGATCTTTATCAGTAACCTTGGGTATCTCTTTCATTTTCAAAATAAGGGTTTGACCGTTCAAATAGAAATATCCACTGAAGTTGGTATGCGGGGTGGTTACCGAAGCGGTTGTTCCTGGGGCTACTGGCTTGAAGATCTAGTTCCATTAGTTGCTGATGCATTTAAACGTAGTTTTGATTTATTGTTGCTGCTCGTCCCATCGAATAATCGCGTCATTTCTACTCTCATCTTTAACGCTGGATATGCATTCCCTGTTCTCGTACCGTCGTGGTGGTGTGTGTTGTGGCAACCAGATTCGTCTCATGCCGGCACTGGACGCAATTGCTTGATTGACGAATCCAAGCGACCGTCACTGACGGCCTTGCTGCTGTCTTTGTTTGTGATGAGCATTTCACAATGTTTGAAGGGGCCAGCCTTTGATTCAACTTTCTGAGTGAGACCACAGCGGTTGAGTCTATTTCACAAAGAGTGCAATCAGCTGACTAACAGCAGCATAGTGAACCCGCACATTTCAACCTGTTGATGCTATGGAACGGAACAGAAAACCCAACAGAACAGAAAAGCCAACCAGGAAGCCTAACGTCTCGCGGTTGCAGAATTATGCTTCTCAGCGGTGTATTCACTTCGGGCTTCCAACATGGCTTACAATCAAAGATATAAATACTTTGTTCATGATTCAGATAAAAATAAATTTTTACAAACTTTCTTGCTGCAGTGTTTGATTAACAGTGCAGCTGTTTATTGGAATCTAGCACCGCAGTATCCTAAGTCGGGATTTGTTTTTTGGTCCAACTTGTCGCAACTGCCACTTAAAGTTCAATTTTCTGGAGATATTATCTGCTGACCTGAATAGCATTCAGAGATAGGCTTCATTTGAACTATGTGGATGCGGCTGTGCTGGATGAATATTTTCAGATCAGGGGGACTTGCTCAGAGTTAAGTGATGCTGTATTCATTCATAGGAGCACATTCAGAAAGTAGCTACACTAGTCATGCCGGCAAGATCAGTGTTTCGCCCTAAAACACTCTGACATTGCTTTGAGGTATGAAGCTTGCTTTCTTACGCAGTGAATAACCCCACTGGTTATTGCCTGCCGACTGATAGAGTCACATACTCGACACACATAATGGATGCTTAGTAGCACAATTTTCTTTCTATATTGGATCTTCTATGTAACTTGATTGCTTGCCAACTCCCTTGTCCCTTTGAGTTCCACATAGTGACTCTTCCCGACTACCACCAAAATAATCCACATCAGAAGTGTCAATGGTTAGAGGTTACACAAACTCAGTTTCAACGTCCCTCGTATAGAATGCAGGGCAGATAACTGTAGTCCCGTTCGCTTAAGGCCAATTCACGGGAGATTGCGGATTCAGCTCGATTGGCGCGGATTAAGAGCACTTGGTTTGTCTCAGCGGAAGAGTACAGTTGTAAGGCGCACTTACACCGGCCTCAAGCAGATGCATCGCAAAGCATATTGAGAACATTCAATAATGATCCTAAGTAGGTTGTATGATAACTTACACCACCTTATACAAAGTTTGCTTTGCATTTTGTACCTAGGACTCTTGCTTGGTTCGACAGAAGCCCCGTGAATTACTGCAAGAGATGCCGCTGGTCAAGCTTGCTCCAATTGAGAAGCATCGTCTGAAATTGACCGGGACTGTGTCACTGCCAGTGTATATCACAAGTCAGAGACGTAATGCAATGGGGGAAGGATTCGTTGTCGCTTTGGATATACCGACAAAGGAACATCCCTCACATTGGATTTTGCAAGGGGCTGCTCTCCTACTCAACACAGACTGAGTAGTACCTCCATTATGATGCGGCATAGTGCTAGTGTGCGCGCTGTCGTTGGCGGCTGTGAACAGTTCACGCTCTTAATTATTGTAAGAAGCGGTGCTACGAGTTCACGTCTACTGATTAGACTGATTTTTCATCGCATTCTCAGAAATACAAGCCGGAAGACAGCTATTGGTTTTGCTTTGTGTAATTGGGTCTTCACAGTTTACCCGAGGACATAAGGTCACGGGGTGTTTTGAAAGAGTGAGCTAAATAGGCATGTGTAAACAAGCAGAATCATTCTGTGTTTATTTAGGCTGTTCGCAGACAACTAAATCTAAAAGCTAAACCTGATATCCTACTTATCTATCAGAATAAGAAAAATGACGTGATTTTAATGTCTTCTCGGTAGGCACACCTGCAGAGCCGATTCTCATGTCCATTTTACTCGCTCTACTTCCAAAGTAAAATTGCCGCAATTTTGATGCTCTTGGCTCTCTATCTGTCAACCCAGATAAGTGCATGCTTAATATACACATATTTGCTTGACAAAATGGTGTTGCGGACAGTAAATTTAGCCATGCTGTTTTCGCTACCACCGGAATGCGTCTCACTCTCGGGACATTCAAATTATCGTAACGTTTATGTTAGTTTAAGTAAATGCCTACTTCACTCCCAACTATCCAACGGGACTTGTAAAGCAACGCTTCTTAACCCGTATAAATTCATTGTTCCTTGTTCAGTAAAATGTTAGTACATGTTGGAAGTGCGTCTCACGCTGAGGTTGATGTGGCATACATCATACTTCTTCACCGCAGTTGGGATACAACGATTTACACTTAAACATGATCTTATTAACCTGGAAAGAAAGCACCACAAATTTTGTGAAGATTCGTCACAGCTAGACTGAAACAGGCAGCCACCACTCATTCAGCAAAGCGCTAGACGGCCATTTCGTCCTATCGTGCCTCGTCAGTAGCGCACAACCGCCGAATCCTGCCGTATTCGAACCCACGAGCTTACTCTTACGAGCCAACGACTTATGCCACTTAGCCATAGGTGACGGCAGTGGACCATCATGACTAATATCTAACTGCGATATAGCGCGGCACATTATCCACTGTTGTACATTTTATGAAAAGTCATATGACAGTACTGGCACACACAGCAGTGACTTCCTTCTCAAGCCACCACCAATCGAGGTGGCATGTAATCTGCCACCCCCTACTACTTACAACGAATCAGTAATCGCCTTAGAAGCTTACATGTCACCTCGATTAGTGGCGGCTTGCAAAGGAAGCCGTTGCTCTGGGGTCCAGCTCTGTCCCCTACATGTTCATTATATGCACCGTAATGGAGAATGACCCGCGGTATATCGTACTTAGCTATCAGGCATGGCTGTCTGCTACCGTCACCCATGGCAAAGTGTCATAAGTCTAAGTGTCATAAGAGTAATGCCGTGGGTTCGAATCCGGCAAGATTCGGTGGGAGTGCGTTACTAACGAGTCCTAATTTGATAAAACGGCGATGTAGCGCTTTGCTGGATGTGTAGTGGCTGCCTCCTTGAGTTGAACCGCGAAGAATGTTCACGAAAACCCCATAAATTTCACTACTACTCGCTGTCATTTTATTTCTTCGTTCAGTTCCATTATTCTACTGCATATTCCGTGTCAATTTTGCATACTTATTTTCATTCAAATTCTATGTTAGTTCTTTGATATCCCGGGTGTGGCTACGCTTTTAGTGTATGTTGGCAACGTACCTATTTGTCGAATATCCACCACCTGCAAGCTAATGGCCCGAGGAGACAGTCGGGGAGATGGGATGCACGGTATTCGTGATTGTACTAGGCTAAAACAGCAGCTCCGTCCAGTGTGAAACGTTCTACTGCCCCGTCATCGCCTTGCGTACCTCTGGTAAGCATAATACATCAATTTGCCTGACTGGAATGTTGGTGATGTGCAAGTTGAAGGAGTGGAGGTCGGTTCTGTTGATAAAACGTGATCCCTATCCACTTGTCTCGCGGTCTTATTTCTTCGAGTTTACACTGGATATGGGTATGCGGATGGAGCTGTGGGTGGTACAGGACAAGCCACCCATGGTCATTCTTTAGGCGTAGGTGTCCTGTGACAGTCCTATGAAGACCGCAGTGACAGGCAAATCCGAAAAAAGATGCCACCAACCAGATATGGGAATTAGCAACATTATTGGTGATGCGAATTAAATGATCACTTACGGGTAAAGTGAAAGATGTGCGCTTATTCTGCGAAACGGCCAACACATATAACTGGTCTGGTTCTGTAAGATACCTTAGTGCTTTAAAATAGCTGCTCGTACATGAAGTTGGTGTTGTTGCGAACACATGCTTTTGGAACAGAAGCATGTTTTTGTGTGACTCGTTCCAACTCTACTATATTATAGCACCTGTTTTAATGTATCCGAAAAGATATTTTTCCTATTGTGCATTTGTCTTTTTCCCCAGCCGAATCAAACGTTTCGAATGCAATAGTGCAGGTTTAAAATTTCTACCAAAGAAGTACAATCATGTTAGCTATTGAAACTACTTCGATTAGCTGCTTGTTGCAATTTGGGGGGACTTTCTTTACTCGAAAATCGAGACATACTATGGGGAATGTACGTATCTGTTGCGTATGTGTTTATCGAGCAAGGTATTGTGGGTTTCGTTACACACGAATAAGTTTTTTCTAGTTAGACTGTTGTAGTGGCACGTATTGATCTTCTTGGCCATAACAAAGCATTTTTGATATAAAATGCTTTGGGATATTTGGATATGTGCGATCGGGGCAGACCTTGTCGGGACCATCTACCATAGCAGTGAGTCATACCTCAATTTTGCAGTGCGGCTTGATGTTGTACTCGTATGCCAAAATCTATTTATTTCCCCATATTCCGGGGTTACTTGAGACTGTCCGGCAGATGCGATGAGTTATCAACTCAGCACATTGCTTTCCGCTTTTTTAAACTCATCAGATAGCGATAACCGAATTTCGACTCGAACAAAGGACTTAGAGAGTACCAGATGAAGCAGTTGCCTTGACCTAACCAAGTCGAGGGCAGCGCTTGTTCTGATGGTTGGTGATAACTTGCACCTGTTGCTCAGCTATGATTCTGGTACAGGTACACTATGGATGATAAGATAATCGCAAATCTGCCATTTGCGAAATGTGGTTTCATGTATGTCGTGCACAATTTTGAAGCACTATTCAACTGCGGTACCTTTCCACCGGTTAGCTTTCACCCCTACGTCCTGTACCATCTGTCTATGCTCGTTGGTCTGCAATCATTAATGATCCATTATGTTGTACAAATCTACTCCTGATCTGGCTAGGGCCACTTTGAGCTTGGCTCATGCCAAACCTAGCAAGTGCTTGGTTGTCCGTATGCTCTTGCGATTACGGTCAACTGGTGTGGGCGGTGTTTGTTTCATGTCCGGTTCTTCTGTCACGCTTAGGCTTCGTCCACGCATTTGGTCCGACGCGATCGCATCCTGCATCATAGTCCTGGATGCGTTTGCACTCACCTAGTGTTCACACGCTGCTGTTCAGGCCAATTCACTTCTTACTCGTCTGTAGCCGAACTGTGTTGTTTATGCTAGACGGCGACGGTTCTCCCTCGTCTCTCCTACCTGTGAGATCGTGGTCACGTCGTACAGGTGGCTCTCCTCTGGTTTGCTGGCCCCGCGTCGAGTTTGTTTATGCAAGTTTTCAACTGTCATCATGCTTGATACGACTAGTTTGCCTTGAATTTTCCATGATGTTCAATAGGTAACCAGTAGAGATGCATCAAATTGGAAAAACTCATATTCATGAGTAAACAGGAAAGATTCTTTCAGACGCATCCGATCCATCAACCGAAGGTACTAGCACTAGAATTTGTCACTTAACTCATGATGGAGTCCTGGCAGATATGGTTTTCAATGACTGCCGTGGTGTCTTGGCACCCAACCAAGAAAACGATAAGTATCGAGGCAAAAGAGAGTTCTGGTCAGTCTCCTCCTTCGTCTGTGTTGCAGTCTAGTCAGTGCGGAACCAGCGCCCTGTGGCCGGTTAGTAACCGAAGTAGCGCAAAATAAGGCACGTCAAGTAAGTGGGAGGCATTACAAGATTCTAAACGGTATTTCGCACAACTCGTCGATCGTGCGTTGTTGCTGAGCTAAGCAGTTGATTGGTGAGCGGTAGACGGATACATGCTTGGTAAAGCTAGGTTGCCAGTAAGAAGGGTACAGCAATAGGGGCCACTAAGATGTCATAGCTTAATACGCCACTGTGTGGTTTACCTGATTTTTTGATCAACCAAGGATAACACTACCAGACACTCCGGGATGTGAGAGTAACAATGTACGAAGGATACAGCCAAACTAGTTTTAGCAGTTAAGGCTTAACAAATCATCCCTCACCATACTATAAGTTTCATAATGAAATAATGCCTTAGAACCTAGCTTCCCCATCTACCTGAACCGATAAGCCTACTTGTACTCCCCAATAGTCCCTTAGTACCTGCGATCGAAATATTGTTTTCAAGTAGTGGCTATGCCTCTGGACCTTTCAGTACGAATAACCACACTGAAATGTTTTACAATACTCTACCGCTAGGCCTCGCTGCCCCCATTAATGAATAATTGTTTGCAAGTTTTCATCGGTCATAGGTGGAGTGATTTTTTCCTTTACCAGAACATTGTCGGTGCGACCAAACTTTGCTTCCATGGACAATCGATCGCATTGGATAAGCACTCCGTTGCCGTTGGAGCTGGTTGTATGTTGATGCACATCCGCAGGTTACATCTCGCACTTTTGGAAAACTAGGAATTTCCTGCGCTGTGCAGCAGACTACTTCAACTTGCTACTATACAGAATGCAATTAAATTTCTATATCACTGACTCATGGAAAGCTTTTCAGTGTCCCATCTGGCATCACTTCCATGACATGCAGCGTGACATGAACAAAATCCTTTCGCTGGTGCTTTTGCGTAACTATGGAGAAATACTGTAAATCTATTTGTCGTGCTAATCTCAAAGGAAGCTTCATGTGTACTACGGTCCATCGTCGGGAATCATAGGGCGGCTGTTGTGTTAGTCATGCTAGCTACTTGTACCGAATCCGGTATTGAAAACGGTAAACTGGAGAGGGAAAAGGAATCATTGTATCAGAAAACTGCTCTGCCAGGACAGCGCTGATGGCAGCTAATGAAACAAAAGGGAGTAAAAGTCGAACAACTGTTTAACTTAACTAGAGCACACAAAATGTGTAACTGTGTAAGCAAATAACAAGTGACTAACTTTAATGCCTATCAGATGCCCCCGGTGCAATTTTAGGGAGAATGTTAACGTCAGGTACAGCGGCTACACCTCCCAACTACGTGCCTCTACTACGCGTTAAAACAAATGACACGACTGGACCCAGTAAAGAAGAGGTATGCAACTGAAAATTGTTATACAAATGCAGCTGCCTTTGTTGTTCCTCTAACAGTCTCCATTTCACAAAACATGAAGTGCTTCGAAGGTATCGGACTTATTAGTAAGGGAAAGCGGTTGCGCATTTGGATGCTTAGCGTTATTCAATTCATCGACAACTCGTAAGCATGCATTCGAGATAGTAGTTGTTTGAGCATAGACTGGCGCTTCCACCGATTTGACTGTTGATAACTGTGAGCCCCCAGTATCTGACGAATTGAAATCCTTTGAAGACTATGGTAAACTAGGTGCTGCGTCTGTGATGTCCGCACGAACTTTATGACTCGTTAGAAAGCAGAAATGATGGTCGGTGACTTCTGGTACGACGTTAACGGTTTCTCATCTCATGTTAAGAAGGATGAATAAAATAATCCAAAACCAACTCGATACCGTTTCTAAACCGCTCCTTACAGTAAGAACCTTTGCTATTCATCATAAAGGACAGTTCACGACAGATTGCATCTAAATTGGATGTTGTAAACTCAACATGTTGGTCCAGTCAAACTGTTGACAACTGGATGACTTACTTATCTCGCTTGCTAATAGACGAGAGTAATTCATAGTTACCTTATTGAAAAGAGTATTCTCCTGTCCGTAACGTGGGGATGTGCCCAGTCGTGCACAGTCCCAGCTTAGCGAGTGGTCAGTTCACGTCCGGTTATTGAATGAATGGCAAATCACTAACGCGAGAGACATCGTGGTGATCTACAAACAAGAACTGAAACAAAATTTTCGGGATAGCATCTTTATTGCCCGGGTTTATCGGTTCAATCAGACACGTAAACTGAAGGGATGTCTTTTTTGAGCACTTGAAGCCAGAAATAACCTTACTTATCGTCCGATAGTCTTTTGTGAGATCTTAGGCGATCTCTACAGAAGCCTTCCACTGCATTAGCTGTCTCGACTATCGTATCCGGACCAAGAATGTTTTACCTAGTCTTGCAAACACCTATCCTCCTTATTCAATGATTATATCAAGTATAATAAAACCCAGTTATGAGGGTTATATGTCGACCGACATCCTAACAACGCTTTTTCAGTTGACGCTATCGTACTTGACATTATAAACGACGCTCAGACGTAGGTAAACCAAACAGCTTTTGTTGTTACATATCTGGCCAATCCGTAATGGATGCGAACCAGCGGCTATAAGGTGACAGTTGGATGGCGAAGGGCAGCGCATAGACGAGCACAGTGAGCCTCAGTAACACTTAGTGCGCACTTTCCAGAGTGAATCGTCATCTCACGCGCTTTCGACACAGCTTCCACTGATCTCGAGGTTAACTTATGACAGCAAATGTGAAGAAAAGACTATTGTCCTTGCGCATGTACAGCTCTCCTGAAATGGATGACATAATACCAAAGGCGTTAACTAGAGTCACGATGAATATCACCGAAGTATTAGCTCGGTTCTTTCAACAATGTCTTAATAAAATGCAGTTTCCTACTACGTGTAAACAGGGAATAGTCACTTCTAATAACAAGCGCAGGAATCGCGAGGAGCCCTAGTGCCACCATCCCAGCACTCTCCTCCTGATGCTATCCATACTACTGGGAGGTATTGCCGTAGAAGTACTTATGAGATACCTTGAGAGCAACGTCATAGTGTCACAGCCGATATCGGTCATAGAGTACAGCTTGCTGCTAGCCAGTGCAAGCTGGACAGAACCAGCAGATGCCAGATCGGGAGTGGATATTATTTACCCGGAACACTGAAGCGATCGACCGCTTGGACCACCGCATTCTCCTTCAAAAGCTCCGAAGTTATGGGCTCGGTGACCCTGCACTGGGTTGGATAACCAACTTCCTCCTTCAACGTCCAATGAGTGTGAGAAGCAGCAACTCCCTTTCCGACACAATTGAAATCTCATGTGGTGTGCTCAGAGGATCGGTATCGGGTCCAGGTTTATTCCTTTCCTTCATCGACGACGTTGCCAGCTGGGTGGTTCGGGATTTTCCCGTTCCAGCAAATGGTTCGGCGGCAGTGTTCCAGGACGTGGTGGGTTTTCACCTGGCAAACGTTCTCCCTATAAAAACCCACATATGGCCGTTTAACAACACTGTGATGTGGCGGACGTGACACGCCACTAAATAAAGTCACTGTCCCTTGCTTCATCCTGGCGAAGCATTATATTCCAGCAACCTTATGCTGTGCTTCTGGGGAGCCTTGAGCCCCTGTTTGACAAAGGAACAAACGAAAAGCGTATGAACTGAGCAACCAGTCACCGGCTCCCAATGGGCGCGATTTCCTGAATTCGCTCCGCTGCCTTGTGGGCAGGCTATTCAGTCAAAGGCTCGGGGTGGTGTCCCCTAAGTCAACACTCTACTTCGGCTTGGGCGATCGGGTAGTATCTCGCCCTCTGAGGAAACCATGGACATTGTTGTGTTGTGTTTTGTTTTACTGTTTCTGTATCTTCGTTTGAATCCCATGGTTTCTGATGACATTATGTCTGTTAGCAGACTTTTGCATATATATATATATATATATATATATATATATATATATAACATACCGGTGGGGGAACCTGCATCAGTGTTCATGTGAACCGATTAGTGAGTCGCTAAACCGCCGAAGTTCTCCCTTTTCCACGTTGTTGTCAGCACTTTGTTTCACAATCCTCACTCTGATCATCCTGCTAGACTTGTCAAGCAACCACTTGTCTGCGCGTCATAAATCATTCTTCCTTGCTCAAGCTGAGCAAGGTATACCCCACCAAAGATTATGTAAATGCAGTCTAACCAGCCCCATTAATAGACTCGAAGTAAGGGAAACACTTGGAGAGGGTAACCAGGTTTACTACGCGAATCTACCTGGAAATTGGTGAAAGGAATTCCAAAAAAAACAAGACAAATACAGTGGTTAATTCCAAATCAGAATCGCGGGTAAACATCTTCACTGAGTTGGATAATATTCTCATTTTTATATCCCTACAAAGAGATATGGTATACAAACGATGTAAATGGGGTCATTCAACTTCGCCACAGCTCCACAACTTCAAATTTGTGGCTCGGCATTTACCTAAACATCCACAGAAGTCGGTCATCCACTTAGAATGGTTCCAGTGATCCCTACTTCCATTGATGACTCGATCAAAACATATGCAACGTTATAGTAACAACTTCATTCCACATGGCCGCATACGCACTTACCTACATATACACATATGTATATAAATCGCGTTTGCACCTGGTTACCTCGTAAAGTGTTTATACAATCACCGATCGTTCGTGTTGGCATTACCATAAACATGCCCATGCAGGCGTGCTTCGCACTGTCGGAAATAATATACTTATATTATTCATTTATTTTATATCTTGTCAACTTGACTGCCATTCCAAATTGTCTATGGTGACCATACGTCACAACTAACGCCTACTACACGCTGTTATTCTAACTAGCAATTCAAACCATCGTATCATCTATGTGTTCACGGATCCTGACAGCGAGGAGTCCTTACTTATGATTTACCGGTATTAGGAAGTGTTACAATTTTCACATTTTCCGGCGCTCCATACATCAAAGCTAAAATTGAAAGATAATCATGGAAAATTAAAAATTAAGCACTGATATTTGCATGTAGGTGTTCTAGGGTCTATCGAAACTCCCAGCGGGCAGTGATTTGGCTGTTACAAAGGAATCCTTGCTTTTCGCCTTTTGAATTTCTTCTCGAGAGTGGGGAGGTGACCTGGGTCCAAACTTAACTTAAGTACTGAGCTTCTACACCAACTCGAAGATAATACGAATGGGTGAGGTACTTAATCAGTCTTAGCAAAATATCCAGCAGATTAGTTATTACCTGTCCACAGCTACCTGAATGTACAACGCGTTGCCACGCTTCCTTGCTAAAAGTAATGGATTAGGAGAAACGAAACACCATGCCAGTTCACAAAGGTATGTACAAAAGAATGAGGGCGCATGGAGTTACCGGCGATTCGACATTAGGATGTCAACCTTTGTATGAGTAACTGGGAGATTCTTCCCAATGGTTTTTAAGTCAGATTGTTAGCCATACGCCTGAGAAATCACTAAAGGAACAGCTCGACTTGTTTGGTCTCATCAGTAGTGCACATCCATCGGCTCCATCAAGAACCGAACATGTAGTCACTGGAGTCTTACACTAATAGCCAGCAGCTTATGCCATTGAACTATAGGGCACATCGGCAGATTGTCACGACTTACAAGCAAAGTGAACTTAACCTTACCCCATACCACTTTTTAATGCATTTCATTTTATTCATAGTGTGACTAAACTGCAACTTGTACCGTACCGCTCTTTTTAGACTTGTAAAATCATTGTGCGATCGCTCATTTATCCGTACGAAATTCTGTCATCGACTTTTGCGAAGCCAAGATGATCATGGTGCGCAGTTCACCCGGGGTTATACCCTATTTAATTGCATGTTGCTTTCTCTACGGATCAGGTGGAACACGTAAGTAGAATGCAACTCATTTAGTACATCATCGGTTGATAACAACTTTGACCTTTCATTGGCCTGTTTTGTACACTTTGTGAGCGAGAAGGAAGGACTGAACTGGGGACGAGAACAATGTGCATCATTTTTTCGACTTTAGAAGTACCGTGCTGTAAGGTACTGAGGGGCATTACGTAAAATGGAAACGCGAAGCGTATGGTTGCATTGAATGTTGTGATGAGTGCCACGTTCTAGAGGGCCAAGTTCAACAGCAACGCAAATGTAATCTGAAACTTGTCGCTAGTTCCGTATGTTTACAGGAGTGGATTACAGCCATCAAATTATCGGTGTCCAGATAAACTGAAGCAAGCGGTTGGTACCGCGCTTTTTATTTTATTGGGTACTGGTCGGTAGATCAGCTGAGTGTATGTTCGGCGCCTGAATTTGAGAACAGCTCGTGACAGCCTGAAGTAAGGCGGCGTTGTATCTACTCCGAGGCAGTTTCCTCTCAGTCAGATCAACGTATTTGCTGCTGAAAGTTCCGTAAGAGAAATAGACGTATGGGACGACAACATTGGACCATGGCAAGTGTGATAAAGAAATGATGGGGTGGCTACGAGAAATCGTAATGTTCCACATTCTTATTGAAATTAAAAACACCATCCATTCATTTAGGCATTAATTACCTGCAAAATTATAGCGTAGCAGCTTCGGAATACCAGTGAGACTGACTATAGTCAACTCCATAGTTCATCTCGTCACTAAACAGTTTAGCGTAAGTGCTTCAGCAAACGAACGGGAGTGCCCGTGATTAACACGTGATTGACATAAAACAACATGCCTCGCTCTCCGAGAGTAAATATCCTGGCTATGAACGGGAACAGTAGACACAATAATATAAACTGTATCCTGCCTCACCCTGTCTGTAGGAGTTACATTCCCAACGACATCTAGCATTACCAGCAGCATCGGTAGACAAATGAATTTTGATCCCAAAAAGACAACAGAAGTTACACCTAACTGATCAGCCTTGCAAAGATAATCGCGACAAACTGATCCCTTTAAAGCAGTGCTTCTGTCACTAAGTGTAGATGGCAACCGATGCTGTGGGTCATCATTCTTTCCAATGGGCATTTGTTACCGGGTTTGACGGAGACGCCTAGGTCGAAGTATTTGACAGTGAACAACTATGAACAGTTCATCATGCAGCCATAAAAGCCTGAGTGTGCCGGTGTCAGAAACCCCAAACGCACCCAAGTGAAGGCAAAATCGGAGATAATAAGCCGACAAATACGGGGTTTCTGTACTCTGCACATACTAACAGCTTCTAGGGAACGAACCATGAGATTATATTTATTGTATCGTACACTAACGTGAGTTGACAAAAGGCGAAGCCTTTAGTATTGATTGACAACAATCGATGTGATGTTTACGAATGAAGGTGAGGGTGAACATTGACCCGTGGTGGTTAACGGAAGCGGGACGGTTGGCATCCGACCAACTCAGCTTGACCTGTTGTATCATCAGTGCGTAGACTGTACCAGATATTTATGACTGAGACTAGCACAGAAAATAATGAGGGGCTCTAGGGTAAACTCCCAAGGAGAGTGAGTATAGAGGGGATTTATGAGGTTCTTTGGGTAGTTCGTTGCAGGCAGACAGCCACCACACATCTAGGCAAGCGGTAGATGACCATATTGTACTATTGGGACTCGTTAGTAACGCGCTCCCGTCGAATGCTGCCGGATTCGAATTCACGACCTTACTCTTATCACCCAGCGACGGCTGCCACTGATCCATGGGGGACGGCTGCGGATCGCCATGACTGATATCTAACTGCGATATTGCGCTGCTTATCCTCCACTTTCATCTAGGTTATGAAGGTGCAGTGGGTAGCGCAGGCTGTTAGAGCTACGGCTTACTTTGAAAGCAGGATTCAGAGGGCGCGCACTACTGGCAAGGTCAAATGCGACGCGATGGTTATCTAGCGCTTTCCTGGATGTGGGGTGATTATTTGCTTGAGTCTATCTGCGACGATTCTTCTCCTAAGGAGAGTGTACGCTTTCTCCTTACCTTGAAACCTTATATCACTGTAGTCGGGAACACGGTTTGAGAAATATCCGTGAAGAAAACCGGAGTCTTGCGTACTAATTTTTGTTGTTGCATGGGAGACATTTTTATCTTAGTACTCAAAAATTGTTCGGCGCCACAGGCGACATTTTGTTGGATGTTTTAACCTGTGCATACTGTGAAAATGTTGAGCGGGAGGACTGGTCGGACATACTCAACTTGTGAGACCAGATGACCAGATAGTTTCCGGCAAAGCATTCTTCATAACTGAGTGAAAAAACCGCTAGGTGATACAACGGGGACAGCTATTTGTGTATGCACTGCTGATGACTGTCCGACGAATTTTGGCGACCCCTGATTATGCCATCCTACGGTTGACTGCAATGTGCTGTTAGGCTGTAACACGAAGTTTACAAACGGTAAAACATCGTTAGTTCTGGACTCCACGTGACCATACGGATTTGCGATTGCCTGGTCACGCACTTTGTCAAATTCGCAGATCTGTTGCTGGCAAAAGTGGGAGTGGCTAGTGGTTGGAGCACCGGTTTACTACTTCGGATAATTACTTGATGCGAAAAACTGAACTTTGTGCACATTCACACAGAAATTAATTCCTTACGCAATAAGCCACTTGGAGTCGATTTTATACCAACCTGATCATGACAAACTGCTCACTACCATTATAGGTCTCTTCTTCCGCATCGGGCATACAGGAAATTTCGATATCATGAATAGATACTGCAGGGCGTACGGAGCAATGCCAGCCAACCCGGATGAACGAGAAAAAGTACGCCTTAATTGTTAATAGCACACATTAAGTTGTATTCAGTGGATTAAGCAGGAAGTATATACAGCCTCATTTTAACAATTATTTTACTGTGTGAAATCATGTATGTGGCATTTAGTATCATTGCCCATGCCTACATTGAAGAATTTTTCCTACCTCACAATTGAACACAGAAAGACCTGCTCAATGTAACGGTCGGCCTACTTGGCATGGACATTTATTGACTGTATGTATGCTCACTGATTTCGGATGAATCATATTTCTTCTAACGCTGTGCTAACACAGGTTGTAAGAAGTTTTCTGTGTTAATTACTTTAAATCATTTTGTCTATGACCAGTTTCGGCTGTGACCCCCCCCTGAAGCCAGTGATAACTGGACCTGAACGTGATGCTTGACGGTTCATACGTTGCTGAGTCACTAAGCCCCACGAGTAGCATCTACAGTAGTATATCTATAGTAGTGCAGCAATCAGAAGTTGGTTGGCTGGTTTTGAAGTAACCGTCAATTGGTCAGATGATCATGCTCAGTCCCGTGTTGGACCCAAATAGCTTTGAAGTAAACTTCGATCATTTTAATCCCGGGACTTGCATCTGAAAGGTAAACTTTTCAATGTCACTTGCCCCCATACTGGGGCCATTGTCTCAAGCATTTGTCAGGAATCACCATGGTCTCTTAATCAAGGCGTTAAATGTCAACCATTGTGTGACGACTTCCATTCACAGATCCGATTACCATTTCCCGAATGGCCAAACGTGGCTGTGAACTGCAGTGCTGACAGCCATCAACACTGAAAACTCTCCTCTTCAAAATCAATACCGGGGATATGTCAGACCGCACAGTTCATAGTAAATCGTGGCCTAAACTAGGATTAAAGGTGATGCACAGATTATAGTGGCGCTCCAGAGTCGGCGATGAATTGGGTGGGGTTTCGTCAGCCGTTGAGGTGCACATATTTTCAAATGCTTTTTGCTACTTTTTGGTTCTCAGTAGGTTCAAAGCCGTGCATTGTCTGTTCGTTCGTTGTCTGTTCGTTCATTCTTACTTTCTGTACCATTATAGCTAATCCATCTGAAGTCACATGCCTACAAAGCTAGTCATAAGTTTGATACTGTGGTCAACACAGCTTTATCAAGCCATCTCCGCAGATGACATGGCTTTTATATGAGACAAATGTTAGCTTGCGCTATGACAGCACAAACTCAGGCCCATAAACTTACTTTTCCAAAGGTATGGTGTAGTCATAGTACCAAACTCCATCGCACTCTACGACAAAGCGGCACAGTATAAATTTCACAACCTGAGAGATGGAAAACGGTTAATTGTGAACATGGAACGTTTCGCACACGTATATCTGGATTAAAGGAGCCGTTTTGTGCTAGAGGTTGATGTCCCTTTTATTGCTTATTGTGTGGGTGAAAGCACTTCCACTATGTCCGTGTGTGACCGGGCTATGGGTGACGGTCATGAATGGTTAATCTGATCTGATAGACTGCCCCAGGGACTCGTTAATAACAGGTTGATCAAAAGCGCCGATCCAAGTTGTCTTCACAATTGGCTGACTTTGAAACACAATGAGAAATAAACACTAGCACCAGGGTTAACGAAGGCACGAGAAGTGAGACTCATCGGCCTGAGTTACATACCGAAGGCAGTGTAATTGTTTTCGGGCATTTCTTTTTTAGCTTGGAGTTTGAGAGAAACGAAATTCCTAGTGACATGGTGCTATGTTTCTGACAGGGGTGGTAATGATTAAGCAGAAGAAATTTTAGTATATCCTGTAAGTTCGATTTGCTTCGTCGGGATCGAATCTCACCTGATTTCACTCTGTGTGAATCCGCAACGACCTGCTGCACCGGAAACTTTCTGGATAATTAATGTAGTTAAGTCACTAAAATGCATGGTCAGCATCTTTATCTTCTTAATTTCGACACTACTGTAGTGAGAGAGAAGCAGCAATAAGACACAAGCTTTATCGCACGTAACAACGCCTCAACGAACTCTCACGGACGTACGTCCTCATAGGTGACGTTTTCGTCGTACAACACACCACACATGCCAAATCACTAGTTGCCACATCCGTACGACTGGTCGCCCAAACCTACTGAATCGCTCTTGCTTGTCTGACTCCACATTCTAACTTTCGTAAGTCGCATTCTGACCAGCATGGATTTGGTTTAAGGCGCTGCATTTGTTTGGTTTCGGTTGCATGGCTCGGAATGGATATACTACTGCAAACACCGACCAAGGCGTTTCTGTCTGATTCATTGATCATTCACCCAACACCTGCTATTTTCTGCTTGGCTCAGGCCTGCTATCGCTCGTCGCTCGCGCCCCGCTCTCAGCTTGTTCCGCATGGCAGGTGTTGAATCGTCTAATCTCATTCAAGATGCCTCTGTCTGTTTCCTTTCTCCCTGTTTTCGTGGCTTTCGCTCATTGAGCACGGGTTTAACCGTTTACATCCCCAGACTTTACCGCACATTGGTGTCCTGAATTTTGGGATAGCACAAACAAACTGAAAAGCAAGAATGTACGCGCATTATGGTACAGCTACGTGTTGCGGATTGTCATGTGGATAGGCAGCATCCAGCGGCGATTGAAGAGGTGAACATCGGTTTAGTCATACCGCATTGCGAGAAACCTTGAGTAAACAGGAACGTCTTGTTGGTCATTTTCTGGTAATAATATGTTCAATATTTTTCTTATAACCTGCACAGATAAGCATGTTCCAATATGGTTGCCTTTCAGGTGAATAAACTGCGCTGTTACCGACATTCATAAGCTGGAATACAGTTATACTCCCGTTTCTTCCAAAGCGCTTGAGCACTTAATATGCTCAAGTTTGCAGTAAATGCGCCAGTGTTGTTCATGGGGGTTTTAATTTGACGAAAATATTGGTACTAGAAACATCTAGTTGCATCGAGTTAAGCTCTCTTATAGGTGTGTGTTGGCCTGCATTAATATGCATATCGATACTTTTGACTGAGATGTTACATTAAACGTACGCTCCAGACGGGTTGGACATTGGTCATCCTTCCGATGTACTAATGAGTAGGGAATTAATTCAAAAACAGAGGCAAACATAACAGTGTACACGAAATGAATGAGTTGCTCGCTATTCTAAGTGGCCATTGCACGAAAATGTGCACCAAACCATATATGACTTTTCATCCAAAACATCAATGCAGTGCGAACTCGCTGAACTATGGGCGGGGGTTAGGAACTGAGCCGCAGGCAAATCGAGGCACCAATTCCTTGACTGCTTGTTTAGTTCATTATTTTCTTCAGCTGAGTTACAAGGCTGTTACGAATTAACCATCGGCATATGTTTCTTCTTATTCTTACACGCATTCATCCGTTTCTTTGGCCGTCATCCGTGGCAACGGTTAACCAACTCCTGGTTGGAAAGGAGCAGTATTTATATACACAGGAGTTGCGACCCGTGTATCTGGGAGGGGTTTTTTATGACGGGGAATTCACCGGCTACCAGAACTCCGACATTGTGCTGTAAGTGTTGCAGTTTGCTATTTGTTACCTTTTTGCAAAGTCACGCAGTAGAAGTGCTTTGGAAGAGAACCAAATAAACCTAAAATCTTCAAAGGCTTAACCCTTCTCAGGCACTAAGTTTACGCGTAAGAATTCAGGATGAATTTCCTGAAGTTAAGATATTTTTTGTGCCATCTTCGCCCTTCTGATTGGTCGTTGTGGGTGTTACTCCGACTAACCATTTTTACTTGCGTCCGTTGCCCGCTGTCGCTTTGGTTAGCTGGGCGTGCATGAGAGCACCTCCTTGCCTGCACCCGTCAACTACCCCAAATACTCAATTCAACGTATTCGTTATCAGCTAATGTGGAACATGCTCCACCCACGTACATCTATGCCGAGACCGTTTTGGATGACACCAAGGAGATGCTGATTATAACAACGGATATAATTTAGTTAAACATGAATAGAATCATGAACAGACTCGTTAACTTTTACGCATTCTCTCACTAGTCGATAAATATCATCCTGTATCCGAAATTCACCCAGCAAGTTAATGCCACTGCAACTCTGCATTGTTCCCAAAACATCGACAATTTCAGTACCACTCTTCACTTATTTGCCAGGTCATGGGCTCCTGCAAGTGAGCCGTCAAATGGAACCAGTGGCTGTGTGATTGTCAACTCCGAACAGCTGCTGGAGATTGTCTGGTGCAATCGCCACTACTCGATGGTTTGTGCCATCGAAGAGGAGCTACTGACAGAAAATCACGCACCCGAGCAGATCGAACCGCCAGGGGATTACATAGCAGCTTCTGATAGGGACTATGACGAACCATAGCTCAGGATAATATTGAATGACGTCTACTGTCTCTCCTTTGTAACTTCACTCTTTTGCAGTGCTCTTTTATGTGCATATTCGCTACCGTAATGGTGATAAACTTGTGTAAACATGGCTTGCCTCCTGGGAAATACCAACTGAGAGCTAGCGGACTAAAGGCTTCTGAAAGATTTTGATATACTGCTTCATCCGTATTTTAATTGATCCGTAACTGACACAACGCTAATCGCAACGTTAAAGCATTATAATCCATCTAATACACCTCAGTTCAAGTGAGTGTAGTTGTCCAGCATTTCGACCACACAGCATGTTTTCTCCTTTGGAGTTTTGCAGCAATCTGAATTCCTGCGAATCAGGCAACTTGTGTTTCCGTCCTGATTTCGAAGTAGCGCGGTTCGGATCCTTCTCAGCTGAAAAATATTCACTGATAATAACTTATGAAAATACCATAACTCATCGTGCGTTCCCGTGCACAAATTGTGGTTTCTTGGTTACGGGTTTCGTTGGTTGGCACTTTGGAAACTTACTGTAAACTCCCCTAAGATTCACCAATTACAGTCTAGTTACATAACAAGTATTTGTGACCATTCTCTCAGGCTGATAGAGCGTGTCAAATATAGAAAACTGGCGTATTTCTTGATTTAGTAACTTTACCCGGGTTAAGTTTCACAAAATCCTCATGCTCGTGCGTGTTGACATTCAGGGATGAACTAAGGAAGATTGCTGGAAAGAGAATGAAATTTTTTCCGATGGAGTAACCATGCGATTGTTCAGAATACTACGGCGGCAAATTCGTCATTTTTAAAATATGAGTAATTTAGTGGTATACTCTTAACTTCTCGGGTTTATTAGACACAAGATGATAAAGTTTAACAGAAGTGGGTCTTCGCTTAGCATAAAGCGTTTTTGAAAATCTGACCCATGTGAAGACATCAGGTACCAGATAGTATCAGTTTGCTTGTTTGCAACTAAGGACCCCAAAGAATGGGGAAAAAAGCAAATGCCTAACAAGTCCCGTAGGATGACCAGAATGAGAACCACATAATAGGGAAAAGACAAAGTGATAAATTGCAATGCGTTTTGGCGGGTTTACCATAATTTTCGCACAGAGGCATGCAGAAAAGAGCCAATCTCGATTGTGCAGGTTAATGCTGATTGTGTGACGTTCGTTACAGAAAATCATCTGTCGATGTACACATACTATACCTCGTACTGTGGATAGGTTAGGGCAAGGGATTTTTCAAACACAAATATGGTAGGGGCGTACACGACGTGATTTTGAAGAGCGCTCCATGGCTGACAGACAGGAAGAGAGCAAAACTTTTGTCGACATTCTAGCCGACAGTATTGCGTGGCCTACTAGAGCTGGTGGCCCCTCAGATTCGTGTTGTGACTGAGTTGCATTAGGTGGCGGTGGACAAGGTGGGTGTTCTTTAAACGTTGGTAAGTCATTATTAGGTTGTCGCGTAGGAACCGTTACTGACTGTTCTACTACCTCGAAGTCGTCAGCCTAAGTTTATACGGAAGGTGGAACCCCCCTTTTAGGTGTTTGCTGGCTGTTCGCTGCGGAGGCTCCAGTGCTGCGAGTTCTTGCATGTGTCAGGGCTGTCAAGCATAAGTAGCGCATTCCACATGAGGCAGCACGTGTGTGCTACGAAACTGCGAACAGACAGAGGGATCAAATCGCCCGAATGCCTTCCACAGCATGCCAGGGGGTTGGTTTCCAGTCTATGATGCCTTTTCTGATTGCTCTGAACAGCAACCCAAATCACCCTTGTTTAATACCCCAAGCTCGCACTCTAGGGTGATCACTTGCAGAACATGGTCTTCAAGTTTGTACTTGATGCTAGGCTAATAAGGAATGTGAACCACCTTACACGTAGACGAATTAAAATGGAGCAGGTCGTTGAGAGACCATTCATACGTCCAAACTAGGCCTCGCTGGGATGGTCGTTCCGGAGAAGTGACATCCCTGGGATCTCGAACTCAGCGTCAGAAAATGTTGGTGCAACCAGATTTCAGTAATGCAAATTAGTTCCCAGCCATTTGCAACCTGACATAGTCGAAGTTCAGTAAGTTTAATAAGGAACCCTTGGGTGTTAGTGTATATACATGAAGGCTACTTGGATTTCAGCCAAGCGTCGGACTTTGTTCAACCCACACGTAAGTTTCGCCGACAAATGATTGGCGAACAATTAAGCGTCTTTTTCACTGATTAACTGGCAGGTGGTTCAATGTCAGAATCAGCAACTTCGTAAGTAACCCCCAATTTAACTTCCTATATAGAACATTAGCAGCCTGGTCACCCTCCTCATGACCAGGTCGTGCGGACTCACAAGACATACTGCTGGTGCACAGTTCTAGCATAATCGGCATCACTTTTGGTTCTTGGAGATCTTACTTAAAGTGCTTACCTAGTTAAAATATTGTTAAATGATGGTGGTGATAAGGACACCTTACTAGGACATTCTTTACCACAAGTGACGGACATGGAAAACACGGTGAACGAGGTGACCGCTAGATACGCATATGATAGTACGCTAAATACCGGACAAAAGTATAGCTAGGTCGTCCATTTAGAGCACTGCATGTTTTGCCATCACACATCCGGTACCGAAGTCACAAATGACAAGAAAAATATATAAGGGCATTAGATAAATACTGCCAATTCCATCACATGTGCTGTGCATTGAGTCGTTGTTTCGCTGCTCATGGTTACAGTTGTGCGGACCTATGTGCTGAAGGCTGTATTGCTTAATCTATATTAATCTCAAACTTTCAAGCATCGATGAGCTGCAAGAACACCGTGAGTCGGGTACAAACGAATGGTTGATGTCTGTGCAAATTTTATTTGAAGGCAAATTAGGAGATAGCACCGTCTACCATCTGAGATGTTAGCAGTTATCAGCAATAGAAGTAAGTTCGATCACAGTTCCTACACCAGAATACTTAAAAATAAGATGAGTATGCCAAGCCCGAATCGCCAGTTGGTGTCTACATCTGTTATCGACAGCAAGGACAATCGAAACACGATTGGGGTATTAAAATGAGCTCCCTCAGAGGGTGAATGAATTCGCACTGCAATTTGATCGCTAGCACTCACTCCTGTAATCGTTTGTCACATTGATCAATGTCTAGTGACTTCCTCGAAGTGGATCCTTCCAAGTTCAAGCGATTTAGATCAATGATCTAGGCGAACGTAAAACCGGACTATGAAGCAATGAATGTGGAGAGGGCAATCGACAAGGCAGGAACTGTGGCACAAAGTTGTTCGCCGCTCAGTACGCGCGCCTAGTTTAAACCCTCATACTACATAAATCCGGAATTAAATCATGGGTCAAAGCTGGCAAAGGGCTGAGACATTCAAAAGCTAACGGTTTAAGTTTGATGAGGGAGGAAATAAGGAAACATTGGAAATCAACTAAGCAACCAAGAGGCAGTTAGTGAAAAGCGCATCCGAACAGGGAAACAGTATTTCCAGTGACCGCAACATGTACCCTAAAACACACGTTTCATATCGAGTGGCCTATCCTTATACAGTCATAGAATTGTGAAGCCGCCTTCACAACTACAATGTGAAACGTCAGCGATAGTAGGGCAACGGAAAGTGCCTAACGAAACGTTGAAAGCGAAACAACTGGATTTGGTCCACAGGAATGTTAGTGACTATGACTTGGTAATTTACCTATAACCGAATTCCAGTGTTGCATTCCGGTAGGAGACGATAGTTGTTGGGATAGTATTCAGATCGAATATTGGATCATCTTGTGCCCGTGAAGAGAAACAATGCGGTTCACCAGCACCTTTAGGAATGTCTTGCCGCGAGACGCCTTAGTGGGCATGGCAGAACCGACAAAAGGTATCCATATAGTTTCGCAGATAAATCCAACTCTTCAAAAAATAGCATAGCGTAGAGTGTGGATACCTTATTGCCATGATTGGTAAGTTTAGGATAAAAAGAAACGGTGGAAATCAATGAGAAAATGCAGCGAACACAACTGAAAATAGATTAGTGGTCAATAGTCATTGGTATACGGTGGACAAAAAGGCCGAAACTTGACATGTCCCGCCAGATGATCGGTTAGGGATGAGCAAAATGAATGTCAAAAAAGGATAGTGAACAACCAAAAATTGCCAACTTGCCGGCTACAGTGTTCCCTGTCTGAGCTGTCCACACTGGTTTTATGTATTCTCCAAGGTGATCTCTCGTATCCAGGTAAAAATGGAAGCGCCTTGCTTTGTTTTTGTTTTTCTGATATTTGTGTGGGTCACTTGGGTTACACGATATGGGGTAGTATGGCTAGAGCACCGTCGACAGAAGCTCTAAACACGGTTAATATGGGGACTAAAATAGTATGTTCTGAGAGGGTGTTCTATGCATGGCAAACACGCAACGAGAAGTTATTTCGACACTCCAACTGACTGTATTATACTCCCCATCTGAGATATACTCAGTCATTGTTGTTGCGACTCAGCTTCAACAGATGATGGCAAGGGTATTTAAGGTTGTTTAAAATTTGGTGAACCATCGTGAGGTCACTACGCAAACGCCGATAGCACCCACTGAAAATGCCTGACCTTCGGAGGCGTTGCAATGAAACGTTGGTGCATATTGTTGTTGCAGAATATTTGACGTTCCTTTGGCAGTCCGTTAGACCACGTCCGGTTTGAAGAGGGGAAAATCTACTTTTCACCTTGCAAAGGCTGTTCCCTTACTTGTACAGAAGCTTATGACTCGAAGTAAATCGCTTTGCCAAAGCCCATTGACATTGTTGGTCGCCCGATGTTGCGGAATCCCGAAGACAGTGAGATACCGCTTTAACCATGGGTGTCATACTTAACTTGCATACTCTACAAGAGGGCGTAGGTAGGCGGTAAATAATTGGTGGAAAATAGGCGGTTCGTGGCGTTCGGAAACTCTCAGTAGAAGCCACTGGATTTGGCTCTTCTTCTTCGATGCTTTTGCGTACTGCTGCGAGCAGCCGAGATCCTTTTCGTGAAAACACTATTGCAAAGTCTGGCCCCCCCCGGCTTATATGCGTGAATCATTCGGCTTTGTACATGCAGCACTTAACATTTAGCTGCATTGA